GCAACATACTCGCGCATCTCGTAGCACTAAATGAACAATATAATATGTCATAGTTTTGATGTGATGTAATTAATGAAATATATTTCATCAAATCAATATAAACAAACACATGGGCTCGTTTAATTCCTTTGCCTGTTGTATTGTATTTTAAAACAATCGTTTTTCATACGAAAACTCCAGTCGCACGACAACAATTTTTAGTTATTAAAGTCAGTTTTACTTTTTTTAAAGTTCAATTATTAATGTAGTATTGCAATAATTTGTATATAAAAATATTATTTTTCTGTTTAAAACTATTATTTATATAAATATAATTTAGAAAATAATGCTGGCCTTAAAGTTCCTAACAACTCGAGGTCAATCTCCACTCACACACACGCACCACATCTTACACTTACAGGAACAAGGAACATTGCGTATTTTAGGAGCAAAATTTATTCCGTTCACTCGTTGATTGCAGATCGCCAAACATTGCATCGATCTACCACGGAGGTGTAGATATAGATTTCTTAGTTTGTTTGCGATTGGTATTAAATAACCGGGGCTTGTCGATGGAATCTATCAAGAATACATTGAATAGATTACCCCTACCGCTGGAGGTTTGTTTATGAATGGAATATTGCTTCTCAATATTATTAATTTACGAGTTGCTCAGAAACTCAGAAAAAATATATATTCCACTGCGCTAACAATTCTATAACGTTCTTATAACATTTTTATACTATTTTATTCGTAGATTTTTGTTACATTGGTCTATGTCGGTCACTCTGGTTTTACTGCGGATATCCTCATTTCTGAGTCTATCACGCAGAGAAACTCCGAGCATAGCCCTCTCCATAGCTCGCTGAGCGACCTTGAGCGTCCTCATACGGCCAGAAGTGAAGGACCACGTCTCTGATCCGTAAGTCATCACTGGCAACACGCACTTGTTGTACACTTTAGTTTTCAGAGATTGAGGTATACCTGACGAGATGTGTCGTAATTTCCCGAACGCTGCCCAGCCGAGTTGAATCCGTCGATTGACCTCTCGGTCGAAGTTGGACTTACCTAGTCGGACTATTTGTCCCAGGTAAACGTACTCGTCAACAACTTCGAGCATAGAGCTCCCAACAACTACCGGCATAGGTGTGACATGGACATTAAACATGATCTTTGTTTTGTCCATGTTCATCTTAAGACCTATCCGTTGGGAGGCACTATTGAGGTCATTGAGCATAGTGCTTAAGTCCTCCAGCGATTCTGCCATAAGGACTATATCGTCGGCAAATTGAAGGTGAGTGATGTACTCGCCATTGATGTTAATACCGTATCCTTTCCAGTCCAGTAGCTTGAAAACGTCTTCCAAAGCAGCGGTGAAGAGTTTCGGGGATATAACGTCACCCTGTCTTACACCTCTCTGCAGTTGGATAGGTTTCGAGCTCTGGTTCTGTACTCGGATAGCCATCGTAGCCCTACTGTACAAACACTTCAGCACTTCGATATACCGACAGTCAACTTGGCACCGCTGAAGGGACTGCAGCACCGCCCAAATTTCGACGGAATCAAAGGCTTTCTCATAGTCCACACACGCCAAAGTGGCAAATTGTACTCTTCAGTCTTCTGTACAATCTGCCGCAGGGTATGTATGTGGTCTATGGTACTGAAGCCTTTTCGGAAACCGGCTTGTTCGGGAGGCTGGAAGTCGTCGAGTCTGCGTGCGAGACGATTCGTAATGACTCTCGAAAACAGCACGTAGACGCGGCTTAGAAGGGAAATCGGTCTGTAATTCTTCAAGAGAGCGTTGTCGCCTTTCTTAAAGAACAAGACCACCTCACTTCTGCTCCACGCCTCCGGAGTAGTGCCACCATGGAGGACGGAATTGAAGAGCTTCTGAAGAACTTCAAGTACCGGTGTTCCACCCGCTTTCAGAAGCTCCGCTGTAATTCCATCCTCGCCTGGGGCCCTGCCGTTTTTAAGGTGCTGGAGAGCCATTCTAATCTCGCTCAGACTGACGTCCGGGATATCATCGGAATAGTGTCGGGTAAGACTTGCTCTTGGATCGTTACTCACACTTGCGTGTGGCTCCAACGATGATGTGTACAGCTGCCCATAGAACCTCTCAATCTCACTCAAAATCTCAGGTGTCCCGGAAACGATGCTGCCACACTCAGTCTTCAGCCTTGACAGTTGGCTCTTACGGGCAGACAGATCTTTGGCAAAGACTTTGGAGCCCTGGTTCCGCTCGATCGCTTCTTTAATACGAGCAGTATTAAAGTTGCGTAAGTCTCGCTGCATGCATTTGGAGATCTGTCTGTTCAGTTGCCTGTATGCTGTCAAATCTGTTGACGATTGCAGCCTCATCTCCCGTCTAACAGCCATGAGATTAAGAGTGTGATCGGAGAGTTTTTGTGTTCTTCTGCGGCGGGTCTTGCAGAACTTAGCTCCGACAGCATGGACAGTTTCCACGAGCTTGTCATTCATATCTTCACTGCATTGCAATCTTGTAGGCACTGAAAGCGGTTGTGTAACTCGAGCTGAAAGTTTTCGGGATTTTGGATTAGAGCACGAGAGGGACGGAGCGTTGAATTCATTAGACGGGAGCTCTCCAACTTAACGTTTAGGTTCAGTGTGCCTCTAACCATTCGGTGATCGCTGCCAGTTTTCACCCTTGCGATCACTGAGACATCACTGAACAGTTGGCGTCTGGTCGTCATAATGAAGTCAATCTCATTTTTTGTCGAACCGTCGGGGCTCGACCAGGTCCACTTCCTGTGGGGCCGCTTCTGGAAGAAAGAGTTCATCATAAAGAGTGCCTCTTTCTCCATAAAGTCGACCAGCTGCTGGCCCCTTCGGTTCCATTGCCCTACTCCAAATTTCCCTAACTTCAGCTCACCGTTTTCTCTTGTGCCTAGTTTTGCGTTGAAGTCTCCCATCAACACCGTGTAGTGGGTTTTGGAGGAATGCATGGCTTTGGAAATATCCTCATAAATTTCCTCCACATCATCGGAATGTGCCGAGGTTGGTGCGTAAACCTGTATGACCTTCAGCGAATACCGTTTGGTGATTCTGAGTCTGAGTATCAGGTACGCGACCCTCGTCGACACACTCCCAATCTTTACAACGTTGTTGACGAGAGACTTGTGGACGATAAATCCGACACCTCCTTGGGACAGATGGTCGCCCTCCCGGTGATAGAACAAGCCGGATTCGAGAATCACCGTGTCCTCCCCCTCTCTTCGGACCTCGGATAATCCTATAATACTCCAGCGCAACTTGTCTATCTCTTCTTCCAGCTCCATCTTCTCGTCAGTCCTCAGTGTACGTGCGTTAAATGTTGCCAGGTCCAGTCGTCGTAGGTGGCAACCGAACCTCCACCGGAGATTATTAGTACCCAACGGATTAGTAAGCTGAAGTGGCAATGGGCCGGCCATATAGCTCGAAGAACCGATAACCGATGGGGAAGAAAGGTTCTCGAGTGGCAGCCTCGTACCGGTAGGCGTAGTGTAGGGCGATCCCCCACTAGATGGAGTGATGACCTGGTAAGATATGCAGGAAGTCGATGGAAGCAGGTGGCTCATGACCGTGCTTTGTGGCATTACTTGGGGGAGGCCTATGTTCAGCAGTGGACTTGTGAAGGGCTGTGATGATGATGATGATGATGATGGTCTATGTAAATTTATGTAAAAAAATTCTGATATTTCGAACAGTTTTACGTTAAAAAAAACGCAAAACTCCCTGATCCATCCACATCATCTGGTTGTATGACAGTCCACCACTGTATGTTTCACTAGAAATTTTCTTCTGCGTACAACCTCTCTGTGGAAAGTTTACCACCGGCGATTTTTTCGGACCGATACGACTTAGGAACCTTCAAGAAATGAAATAACTCCTTTCTAAAAGGCCGACAACGCACCTGAAATTCCCCTGGTGTTGCAGTTGTTCATGGGCGGCGGTAATCACTTTCCATCAGGTAAGCCGTATGCTCGTTTGCCCCCTCTCCTATAAAAAAATTGGTTGACCCTGCAGGCCATCCCTGGAACTTCCCGATAATTTCAAATGCAAAGTTTTTCTTTCTCCTTCGATATTTCGCGAACAAATGAACCGATTTTTATTTCCCAAACGGCATTTGACGTCATTTTTTGATGTTCGTTTGTTCGTTGAAATCGATTGGTAAAGCCGTTCAAAAGTTATTCCAAAAAACAGTTTTTCAAAATTTTTAAGATTTATCAAAATCTACTGGTCAGAATCTGTTCATCTTTGCAAAGCCGCAAACCGCATCTCAATCGATCCAATCCTGCGGCCGTGGAGCGCCATGACAAAACGCTTAGCCTCTCTGCCACGGAGCCGGCAGTTATATTATATTTTTGTCTATATAATTTAAAAATAGCCAACGAACAATACCTGACGGTAAGTAGGTACGACGTCCCGTAGACTGCTACATCTATCCTTGGTTAAGAATCAAAATGCGGATGTGTTAGCTCCTGCAAAATCAATGCCTGGAATGCCTCTTTTCCAGTAAAGAGAGTCTCCGGTTTCCTACACTATCCATACAAAATACAGCAGCATTAAATTGCTCTTTTACTCCGGTATTCTGTGAGAGTGTGATCGTTCTCCGGTCGGGCCGACTCTTTCGTGCTGCGACTATAATATGGGTGTTGCATGGCTCTAACATGTATGATTGTGTACTCGTATTTATCAACAAAAAAACGCTGCGTATTAAAACTGTAGTAACAAACTATAACATTTTGATATTTTACTATTTACCCTTTTTCATTTTTCTTAATACTATATAACCTTTAGTTTTATAATCTATATTTAATTTTATATATCTAGATATTCAAAATAAGATAAGCGATAACTATAAATAATGTTAATTCAAGTATTAAATTACCATTTTACTTAAAATAGGATTCACATTCACGTAGCGAAATATATCAAAACTTTGTGAATTATTGTCCCATTAGCCTAAATTTTGCCTCAGAAGTCAACTTTCAGTAACCACAATTTATAAATTATGTAAATTATTTCTGACCTGTTCCAATGGTAAGTTCTGTGATTGTATTAAAATGGATATTAAATAATGCCATTATAAAAAGGCATATTGTTTATACCGTATGGTGACAGCATACAGTGTGGCGATATTTTAAGATCCGCCACGCAAGTTTTGCACTGCGAATGGTGGCAGCATCCACTAATGTAATAACTAAAGGTTCGCAATTCAACTTCTGCACTCCAAATTGTGGCAGCATCCAGTGTTGTAATAACTAAAGGTCCGCCATGCAACTTCTACACTGCGATCGCTAATCCGCTTCCTAAACGTGGTTGGTTTCTATCGCAAATTCCTAAACGGGGATTTTACCGCAAACTCTGAGATTGTTTATTCAGCAGCGGACTGTTAATGGCCAGAACCACAAGAATGCGTTGAATCCAGCAGAGCACACCCGCGGATCTATCACAAGACGCAATACCGTAAGTAGCAGTAAGCATCAATGCAACTATCGTACCGATAGCGCCCCCTCACAACACACCTACATGATCCCTATTGACTTTGGTAACAAACTTTGTATTGTTGTTAACTAAAAACAACATCACCGTATCATAGTAGCGGACTACTAAGACGCTATTGTACAAAACTCCACGTATTATAGTGTTAATGCACTAAGACAAGCACATTGAAATAATACTAGTTTTTACGGAATTTATCGCGTATACTTAACTTTTTAAATACCCGACGTTTCGAACGCTTTACAGCACTCATGGTCACCGGACCGTAACTGTGAAAAGTTAAATATACGCGATAAATTCCGTAAAAACTAGTATTATTTCAATAAGACGAGCAGTTGAGTATGGTTGTTACACTTAAAAGTGTGACCAAACACATCCCAATCCGAAAGAAAGAAAGACGACGCATCGCTATGCGCTACGACGCCGCCCACAAACGTTATGGGTGTGCGATGTCCACGGGAAAGCCGTATTGCTATAACAAATCCGCTTACCACCGGCACTAAGATGATATGTCTAGGACACATTGGTTAGCGACTCCAAGTTTACCTCGGTGTCCATCGCTTGTGATCACAGAAATCCAAATAATAAGGCAATAGAAGTCGTAAAAGCGCGTGACCTTGCCGCCGCACATGTAACTCGTAGGCCACAAGTGCGCGAGGAGCGTTTGTTTCGGTCACCAGTGTTGTTTCGGATGCAGAGACGTAAAAATGTTGTTTTGAAGCATATCCAACTACGGAAATTCTTCCACAACTTGCAAATTATCAAAAAAAGGGATAACATTTCATAAATAAGTACTTAGTGATTTAAACAATGTTGTGCTTAATGAAATATACTTAAATAAAATTATCCACCTCCAGTACTACGATTGTCTCCAAAAATGTAACTGTTTTCACATTTCAATATACATTGATTTTTAAGCTAGTTCATGTCTACGAGTACGAAAGCCAAAAGCAGCGATGGGTTTACAATATGGGCAATAAACAAAATTGTTGCCTACGTAAATTTCATAGAACACGGCCGCAGGAGTCGAGCGCGAGTCAGATACGTGACACTATATTTTGTATCGATAATTTATTATGTTTGGCTTACCTAGTTTTAAGAAAACGAGAATGAAATGTGATTTTTCATTAAATATTTATTTACACCTTCCAATTTTTTTTCTAAATATTTTATAATGTTAACCGTTTATCAGCGATTATCTGTTCGTTTGTACTTTTCAATTACTTGAAAAGCCGGGAAACTGAAAAGTAACAAACAACAGAAAGTCAGTTACGTTTATTTAAAACTAATAAAAATAATAAATATGTCACCCATACATATACTTATTTGTTTGCTGTTTGTATAATGTATTCATTTTATTTATACATCTGTTTATTTAATACAATGCTTTTATTACAAAATTTCAAAAGATCCGTTTATTAAAGATAAATGGATATATTTATTCTTAACTTATTAATTTTTATTTTTTTCTAATTATAAAACGTCTAAAAGCTAAAGCTAAGACTAAAAGCGTCTTTTACTGAGACACTTCCAGTTAATTAGTTATATCTTGGTGTGAGACTCCTGGAAGATTAACAATGCTTAATAGAAAGTTATGGAAACGTGCGTTGCGCTGCACTATGCCCCAGTGAGAGTGAGCGCGCAATGTCATTCTCTGTTTTTCGCACACTTTAATTAATGGACCGAATGGCTACGCCTCCTGAGATTTTACGTTTTAGTAAAATATTCCTTAACACAATAGTTCATAGATTAATCTTTGTTGCATGAATGCTAGAAATATGTATAGACGTAGATTGTGTATTTATTGTCTATGTGTAAAAGCTGCGAACCGGCGACACACGTCCCGATATTAAAAGACAGTAGAAGGCATTTCTAGTACCTTATTATTTAGATTACTGTCCTTGTGATACAATATACACGTCACTATAATAATCCTTTTCAAGTCCCATTTCTATTAATATAATGCTTTTACATATTTGAGACCTCCCATATATGTTTGCTTTATTTTATATATATATATATATATATATATATATATATATATATATATATATATATATATATATTAGTATCATAATCACACACACACACACACACACACACACACACACACACACACACACACACACACACACACATACACATACACACACCATTTCTCTCTCTTTTCTCTCTTTTTTGATTACTTTGCAATCACCAACTGTACCTTAATGATCAACATCCTGTGAGGAGAGTGCTGGTGCTCTGAAACACAGGCTCTTAGCCTAGCTCGGACGCCAGTCTCTCACAATCTAAATATGTTTTTTCCCTGGTAAAAACCTCTGTTCATTACTATACTAATATCTTAGATTGTGGAGAAAATAAAGAATTTTTATTATTATTTAGGGGTATCTATATAGTTTTCTCATCTGGTTGGGTGCTATAAATATATAATTATAAATGAAAATGAAAAGACAAATATACATAAATATCAATAACATAAAATAAATATAAAAGTACATAAATAAATAAAAGCCCAACCAGATGGAGGCCCTCGGCAGGGGAGACCAAACGGCCGAGGGTTAGGGGGAAAGGGAAAGAAACCGGCGGATGATGCGGGCGGTATCGAGGAGCACCGCCTTCTGCATTTGAACCTGGAGCGGTCCGCCACGTAGTCCCAGCCGCCTCAGATGACCCGAGAGGCTGACTGGGATTAGCCCGTTTGCAGAGACGACTACAGGAATAATTTCGGTCGGCAGACCACCCCACATGTCGGTTACCTCGTGAGCCAGGTCCAGATATTTTGTTTGCTTGTCTGTTTCGGCTTTCACGAGGTTCTCGTCATACGGAATGGTAATGTCGACCAAAAATATCCTTGACTGTGCCCGGTCCATCAGCACAATATCAGGCTTATTCGCAAGAATAGTCCTGTCTGTGATGATGGCCCGGTCCCAATAGAGCCTGGCGCGATCATTTTCGAGCACGGCTTCCGGCAAGTACTTGTAATACGGCAATTTCCGATCCACGAGACCGTATTTCAGAGCGAGCTCCTGGTGTAGAATTCTGGCTACTAGGTTGTGCCTGTGCAAGTACTCAGAGTTAGAAAGCGCCGAACAACCGGAGATAACATGCCTAAGTGACTCACCGGGATGGCGACAAGCTCGACAGATGTCGACGGTGCCATCCTTTAGGATGTATCTCCGATAGTTGTTGGTCTTAATAACCTGATCCTGTATTGCACAGACAAAACCCTCGGTTTCCCCCGAAGAGATCACCAAAGCGTAGCCAGTGGAGGGAGGCTACTGTGTCTACAAAAGGCTCATGTAGAGCCTTGTAGAACCTCCCGTGGAGCTCCTTCTCCTTCCATACGGTCTCCCGGTCGGAAATGCTCTGCACTGCCGGGTCTTGCCATTGCTCGTTGGCTAAGGATAGAGGGGTAAGTCCTTTATCACAAGAAATGACGTCCTTATAGAATGGATCATCCGATCTCGCCAGGAAGTAATCACGGAGGCTGCACACTTCGCGATTATGCATGGTGAGCGCGCTCAAGAAGCCACGACCACCATGCTTCCGCGGCAAGTACAGCCTCATTACCGACGATCTCGGATGATGCATCCTATGGGACGTCATTGTAGTGCGGACTTTTCTATCCAGGGCGTTAAGTTCAGTCTGAGTCCACCTGAGTATGCCAAAGGTATACATGAGGACAGGCATGACCCAGCCGTTATATGCGTGTGCCTTATTCACACCGGACAAAAGGATGTTAAGCACTTTGGTCAAGCGTGCATAAAACACGTCGCAAACTGACTGTTTCATACCAGTCTCATCGATACCGATGTTTTGTGACATACCCAGGTATCGGTATGTTTCAGCCTCGGAAAGGGTCCTTAAGTTGACGGGCATAGATAAGTCTACGCCCTCAGAGTTAGCAACCCTTCCCCTTTCAACATGGAGGACCGCACACTTATCCGTCCCCAGCTCCATTCCAATGGAATTGCTAAATTCACAAGTGATGTTTAGCAATTCCATAAGATGGGAGCGACTGGAGGCGAATAACTTGAGGTCATCCATATAGAAAAGGTGGGTCACTTTTGTCCCTCCTTTCCGTAGCTGAAATCCCCTCCCGGAGCCCTCCAGTAAGGTACTGAGAGGGTTCAGAGAGAGGCAGAACCAGATTGGACTCAGACAATCGCCCTGGAAGATACCCCTTCTTATCCTTATGTGGTTCTCCGCAGCCATCATCCGCTCGCCTAGATGACAAAGGATCGTACTCCACTGCCCCATACACTGCTCGAGGAAGTCTCTAACTGTACAGTCTATCTTGTACAGCTCGAGGACTCTCTTTAGCCATGTATGGGGCACCGAGTCGAATGCCTTTCTGTAGTCTATCCAGGCGGCGGAGAAGTTCCGACGGTTGCGTTTCACCACTTTGCCAATGACCGCGTCAATGAGGAGTGGTTCCTTGGTTCCACGACCACCGCCCCGACATCCATTTTGAGCGCGCGACATCACCTGATTTGAGTCCAGGTGACAAGTGATTCTCGCGCTCAAAATGGATGTTAGTGTCTTGTATATGGTCGGTAGACACGTGATGGGGCGGTATTTGCTCGGGTCTGTGGTACCCTGGTCTTTAGGAACTAAATGAGTGATCCCAGTAGTGAAGAGGCTTGGGAGCGACTTCTGGTTGAGAGCCTCTTGAAACTGTCGGGCGAGCACAGAGTGACACACCATGAACCCCTTCAGCCAGTAGTGATGCAGCCCGTCAAGCCCCGGACTTTTCCAGTTCGGGGCCCTACGAACCGCCTCAGCTACGTCATCCGGCGTTATGATGACGGGGTCCATGGGCGTAATACCCGCACACTGACTCGCCACAACTTCCGTCCAAGGGCCCTCGCTGTGGTTTACGGGCTCTGACCACAGGCCGCGCCAGAATGCTACAGTGTCGGCCTGATTCGGTGCTGGACCCGTTCCACTTACCATTGGTCGCTCCAATGATTCATAGAGCCTCTTCTGATCACTCTGGAAGAGACGATTCTGGTTGAACCGTGTCGACCTCTCGGTATATCGCCGAATCCGCTTTCCCCAAGCAGCGATTCTCTGCTTCAGATCATCTATGCGCTCCGTCAGTTTTTGCGTTATATCCGGCTGGGACAAACTGACATTTGTCCCAGCAAACGCCATCCTGACGGTGCGCACAATTCTTGGCCTGTTGTTGCCTGATCTGAAGCATATCAGTCTGCCGATGAGAGCTCTAGCCTTTGCGATACGTTCCTCAATTCTTCTTCTCCATGCTGGGATAGCGCTACTATGGCCAGTAGCGCGTCCAGCCGTGGAAACCTTGGCGCCTATGATACGGCAGACTGCCAGCGCGGCGCCAAAAAGAATTGAGTCCGTCTCGCAAAGGTCCCGGCTGGCTTCCAAATAGGTAACCAGCATTGGGTTCAGAGCCCTCACGACAGCCCGATTCCGCTTGCTTAGGGCTATGCGGGGAAGTCGCGGTCGATTTTCGAGAGGCGTACTGCGCGTTTCCACAATCGCCTCTTCCAATATACTCCTCATATGCTCTAATTCCAGTTCCTGGGCGACTGTTCCATCATCGTTTGAATCAACCACAACTGGGGTATTCACGGCGGCATCCACGTTTGCGGGTTGCTCTACCATTTGTGGCGCCGCATCCTCAGCCGTAGCATTCTCATCCGACGAGGGAACAGCCTCACGTCGTAGCCGTTCGAGTTCGGCGACATCAAATATATTTGAGCGCAAGATATACCGAACTCGGTCTGCCAGGTTTTGCTCTGTGACGATTAAAGATGGCTCCAGCTCAGCAAAAAGACGATGCATCCTAGCCCGATACGCCAAACATCCAGTTTCTTCCCCTTTTGCCCTAAAGTACGCCCGCAGTGCGTTTGCATTCATTTCTTGTGACCAACGCATGCGACGTGCTCCACCAGCGGCGGGTGCCGCTTGCTGAGTCCGAGAAGACCCAGCCGACACCAAGCCTTCTGGTGGGGATGATGGATGCGGAGGGCTGGTAGATGACCGTGCAGCTCCTCGCGCTCGGCTGGCGGCCCGCATGCTGCCGCGTCCAGCGCCAGCTCCAGACGCGCCCCGGCGACCCCCAGGCAGCGGCCCTTTGCGCACTATCTTTTTATCCATCATCCATTATTTGGGCGTCCATTAACGGGGAGACGCCCAGGCCCGGCACCGTTTCGTGTGTAGCCATAAGCACAAACGGGCCTCTGCACCCTAAATTCTGCCGCGGCACGGCGCTCACACCTCTCGCAAGGCGCTGACTGACTGCGTTGACGTAGCAGTTTTGTCACTTAACTGTTACGTCAGCGGGCGATGGGGTCGTCAATTCCCTACGCCTTACTTATTATTATTATTATTATTATAAGTCCCTAATATAGGACTATATACTATATATATATATACATTTTTATACACGAACTGCCTCCATGATTAGGAATTTTTGACCAATTTTGCAATTATTTTTTGTTATTTATCCTTATTATTATAATATTCCGACTTGTATTTCTATATTATTTGACACATTTTGAATATATAACCAAAGTTTTTTTTTAATGAATTTATTAATTTAACTTTATGCTTATAATTGTATTTTTATTAGTTAATATATTTTTTCTAAGATAATTTTTGACAATTTTATACAGAAATTAATTATTTATAATAATAATGGGCCGTCACATTAGCAACAGACAGATCAAAATATAAATTGTAATCCCAGCCGCGTAAGCGACTTGTAAGCTTGTGACACCTTTGTTTTAAATTCCATAGTATCTTGTAGATTATGCCTAATTTAATCATAACTTGTACATCATGTTATTATACGGATACAAGTCAGATTTATTTGCGTTAAAATGATTGCTTTAAGTTTTTTTTTATTTACAAATAAGTTATTTACGTAGTTAATATAATAGTTATACATACATCGAAAAATGTATTAGTTTTTTTTTAATTTACTCTTGCTAGAAATATGATGTTTACGTTATCTTATGTACAACACTATCAAGTTTATTTAACAAAATATTAATTTATTTGAATATTCGAAAAAACAATTTAAAATTTTAAGTAGCTTAATGTATAACTTTAAGTTTTATTGCTCTTATATAAGAAGAGAAAAACTAAAACTTACTAATAGCAAATTGTCTATAAGCTTTATCACAATTGTATTGGGTCGTTGCGCTGGCTTTCCGCCTTATAGTGAAGTTGTCAACTTTAAGTTACTAGAAAAAAAACTGTTATTATGATGGTTTAGTGCTGTGAAAGTTAATTTATAGGTTACATAAAGTAGTTTTCATTTTTATAACTCATTAATGCTACAAGACAAAACACTTCTTTATAATAATTTTTGATATAAAAGATGTGAATTGCTATAGTTTCGGAAATCAGTGCATTCGAATTCTTCAAACTGTGTTTTCGATTTTTAACCCTAATATTTTTTTATTTTTGGATGCGGTTTTGATATAAAATATATAAATATTTTTTTGTGAATCATAATCTTTTTTTTTATAGGATAGGATAACAAACGAGCACACAGTCTCCACCTGATGGCCGCCAGGGAGCACGCACACACAACTCAAGCTTGTAATAGTTACCTATCACAGCGCAGTTGTATGAAGCTTTATCTGTTCCGTTTCTTTAGTCATATATTTTTAGTAAATGGTAAATGCGGTTTAGTAAATGGTATAATAATAGTTGTTATCGATAATGTTAAACAATGAATTTTCTATATAAGAATATTTTATTTAATTAACTCTACATAATTAGCTCACCTTCGGTATCAGTAAAAATAACGTAAGTGTTAAAATACGTGCATTTAATTTCCACCTTTTTTACAATTAGGTAAGTTACTTCGCCAGATGCTACAATTACTATACTCTTATTAGGTTTAAACTAATACAAACCTTATTATTGTAAAAAAAATATTTAATATAAGCGTAAATTTTGCTACTATAAATTAATTTAAATAAATTTAGGCCTCGGTTAACCCTTTTTACATTTTTAATTAAGCTTCACTTTGTGTAACTTCTGAGAGGATTATGGTGTAGAGAATGCTCTTATTTGAGTAAGCAAATTTTGCGAGTGTATTGTTCTTTGCTGAGTAAGTTTAAAGACTTAAAACGGATTAATCATGATCTTATGATGCATAATGGTTGTAGTGACAATAGTTTACGTATTGTACGTCTGCAAAATCTTAGATAGGTATGACTGTACAAAATATACACAAACAATCACACAAAAAAAAAAAATAACTCAAAATTGCTGTTTACTTATATCTATCAATATATTTATCTCCAAATTTATCGCCACAGAAGAAATAGTCAGTGTACTACCGGTACTATGTATGTACTGGCAGCCTCGTCGATGGAGTGACAACCAGGTAAGACATGCAGGAAGTCGATGGATGCAGGTGGCTCAGGACCGTGCTTTGTGGCATTACTTGGGGGAGGCCTATGTTCAGCAGTGGACTTGTGAAGGGCTGTAATGATGATGATGATCGCCACAGAAGAAATAGTCAGTGTACTACTGGTACTAATAAAGTACTGGCAGCCTCGTCGATGGAGTGACAACCTGGTAAGACATGCAGGAAGTCGATGGATGCAGGTGGCTCAGGACCGTGCTTTGTGGCATTACTTGGGGGAGGCCTATGTTCAGCGGACTTGTGAAGGGCTGTAATGATGATGATGATCGCCACAGAAGAAATAGTCGGTGTACATTCAGTGTCGCTGAGAAAAATCTGGTAAATTATAAATACTCGTAATAGTGATAATTCCATCGATTCCACACATCACAGTCATAAAACTCCACTGCTGAGTATATCCCTCCCCCACAGATTGCCTTTCCTAGGGAGAATTTTCCCATAGTTCCCAAGCTTGGCCACCGCAGTTTTTTAACTGAAAATTGGAAATTTTAATATATCTACACGTTTCAAGGTCTTTAGAGGCGAATAGCATGGTTTTTAAGAGGATGTCCGTGTGTGCACATGTACGTATGTATGTATGTATGTATGTTCGGATTCAATTTTCGCCTCGTGTATCTCGAGAACAAAGAGTGATATTGAGATGGGACCAGTTTAATTTAACGCATAATTATGTAACTTATACCTCATTAAATTTTGAGCAAAATCGGTCAAGTCGTTTTTTGTGCCGAATGAAAAATTGTATAAAATATTAAAACATATTTTTTTCATAGGTTAGGGTGACAAACGAGCACACAATCCACCTGATGTGAAATGCTTGCTGTGGCCCATAGACGTCTACATCTATCCCTCGATTACGAATCAAAATGCAGATGCGTTGTCACCCGTGAGGACTAAGATGGAATGCTTCGTTTCCAGTAAAAAGGGTCTCCGGTTCTCTAAACTCACCATACAAAATACAGCAGCATTAGGCTACTATTTGATGCTGGTATTCTGAGAGAGCGTGGTCCTTCCCCGGTCGAGCCGCCCCATTCCTGTTGTAACTATACTACTAATATAGCTGTAGTATGGCTCTACCACGTTAGATGTATATGATATTTTTTATTCTTTCCACTGGGAAGTTAGGTCGTGTGGACCTTTCGGGTCGCACCTAGACCGCTTTTATTATTATTTTCAGTTGTAATCAGGAAGGTGCTATTGCCCATCATCTGTTTCAATTTCCCTAAGGCGTGTCTTATGTTACTTCCGGGATGATATGATGCAGTGGCAGAGGTTCTTACACGGTACAAAAAATAATCAATACATTTTGTTGTCATATGGGAATATAACTGAAACAAAATATATGTCAATAAGAGTAGCTAAACATTGTTTACATTCGTAGAAAATAGGATTTGAACAGACTGTACACACATTCGGTTAACGGTTCAAATTGTTTCCTTGCTCTATTCCGGTCATGTTTATGTTTGTTGTTTACATAACAAATACTGTTACAAGATCTGGTAAAGCTAATAACCGCAGCACGTGAGACAAATAATTAATTTTGAGAAAATTTCATTACATTTAGGATACATTTAACGACGTGCTTGGCATATTATCCAGGTAAATTGCTAAAATATTTTATTACAATTCTCCTCTGAATTACCAAACCACAGAATTTTAAAGAAGCACCTATTATACCTATATAAGATTATTAAACATATTTATTATCCGAAAATAAAAAGGTTCTCCTCACGCTACTTATTATATTTAAATAAGAGAGCGTTATATATTTCAGTGCAGTAAATAATTTGAATAAATTAATTGATTGAAATTATTTATTTCGTTTGTAAATGATATAAGCCAAGAAAATCCATATCCAATACGGCACGAGTCGATTGTATAGGTTGTAATAATAACAAAAAACTGAAACATGTGTCATTACTCGGTTTTTTATATTGAACAATTAAATAATTTTGTCATTAATTCTCTTTATTTTTGAATTTCCGCAGACATTTTGGATTTGTGTTCGTTTGATACAACTTAAATATTTATCTATACCTTTGACAAGTTATAATAAATCTCTACTATTTAAATTACACTGGCAGGCTTTTAAAAGTTAGTTCACTTCAGTTCAAAACACAGAACACTATCTAACGGAAAACCCACTCAAAAAAGATTAACTATTCTGTAAACTCGTTATAGATTCTATCAACGGATCTAGTGATTCTATTCGGAGGCACCAGATTCACGCAATGAAAATAGAATATTTTTGTTTCTTTTTGCTTCAATACTCTTCTTTTCTTTTATTTTTATCAGTTATTTGACTTTAAACTAAAGTTAATATAGCTTCACTGTAAAATTTTGAACGAAAAATTATTAAAATAAAAATATTATTATTTTAGAATAGACTAATATTTTTTGTAATTACAAGTAATTCTTATTGAAAGTTTTTTTTTTACTTTTATTACTGGTTCAGAAAAATACCCTGTCTAGGAACTACCAGCAAAAACCAAACGGGGTTTTTTCAATGAAATATTATACAATAAGAGGTGTACAAAGAACAAAGGTACAAACTACTTTCGAAACTTCTTGAAACAACTTGGAAGTGACCATCTCATTTTCAGGAGTTATCAACAAACATGTATTATTAGTATTAATCGATATTATAATAACCCTTTTTATACAGTTTTCGTTCAATAAAATATTTAAACTTGGTATAAAAACCTTGTATATT